TTATTGTTTATCGCAATAATTTTTTAGACAATTAATCGCTCAGCAAAATTTGTTATCATGACAGGCCTATATATAAGCTAATTTATCCCTGAGGGCAATCAACTTAGCACAAACATTTGCAGATAAACACACTCAGGCTGTGTGGGCTGAAAGAGGAGTTTACAGGTTCAGTGAAGCCTTATGAGAAGTCGTGGATGTGGAAGTCTGTGGAATATGAAGCACATGAGGAGAGCTGGGCATCCAGCCAGCTGAAGCACAGTACACAGCCTGGCACCCACTGGCACAGGCCGACTTCAAACTCTCATCTGGGAAAATTATGGGCCATCTCCATCATTGACTTGCAGTCCTTGACACAGCAGATCTGCACAATGCTAGTGGGTATAGACTGCGTAACGTGTCACACTGCATACATTGACTATTTGCCGGCATCTAGGTTTAGGGAAGCAGGCTGTAATAATTACTATTTTGAAAGTCATAAAATCACACCAAAAAGAACACACAAAAAAAACACACACACACAGTGGGAGGGTTATGGGTTAAAAAGCGCTGTATGGCCATTTGTTCATAGTGCAGCAGCTCTGTATAGGAGCAGCCATCCTAAAATGCTCACTGGACTGGCTGCAGATTCTCAGAATGTGTCTGCATGTGCGACTACTCCAGTGCTTCAATACACTTTCCATCAGATTAAGCTGCTATGCCTTTTCTTTAGTAGAGTTCTACCTAGGGCATTGGTCTTTAATGGCCTGCTTTTCATAGCAGAACCAAAGTAGGATAATTTTTCACAGGATTCTAGTTTCACATCAAAACTGCCTGTGGGTCACAAAAGTGTGCATACTCCTGGTAAAATACCAGGACTTTAATAGCTACTTTTGCCCAGTGGTGCCCAAAGTCGGTCCTCCAGGGCCAGCATCCTGGATGGTTTAGATCTCTCTCCAGTGGTAGTTACAACCTTTTCAGCATGCCATTGTTCTTCTTGGGCCTTCTAGTGAGCCATCATTTGAAGTCTGTATTCAAGACGTGGTGAATGTACTGAAGAAAACTGGGATTTTCTCCAAAATGAATAAAAAGACAAGAGGAAAACTAATAAGGGAGTCTGCAATGAAAAACAAAGAAACAATCACAACACTAATGGAGCTGCAGGAATTTCTTGCTTTTACTGGTTGATTTCCAGATGATACTAAGGTTCATGAATTTTCAATATATCTGGAGTAAGGAGTAGGGTTGCAAAACAGAAACATGTTATTCCGCTGAAAACATCCTGACCTGCATGAAGTCTCCAACATGTGGGAGAGCATTTTATGGTCAGATTAAGACACTCTATTTCACTGGTATATTCGACACAGAAAGAACATTGTACATTATTCAACAAACAACATACCTACAGGAAAACATGGTGTTGGTGGAATCACGCTGTGGGGTAGCTTTTCTTGAAGTAAAACTGGGTCATTTTTCAAAGTGGACACAATTATAAGCAGATCCAAATACGTCTCAATTTTAGCCCCAAACCTTTGGGTATCTGCTACAAGGCTGAATGGACTGTTGTTTATTTCAAAGTCAGTCCAGAAGTAAAATTAACAAATATTCAGTGCAATAACATAAGATTGTTGAGGATAAGACATTTTCTCTCATTCTGACAGAGATGAAGAACTTTAGCAAAACAAACCCCACATGTAATGCAAAGTCAAGATATAGAACGCTGACAGTTATGCCCACTTATGTTATCTATTGTTTATAAAAACACATTAAGTTCATCGGCTCTAAACCTAAAGATTTTAGATGCCATCACATTGCATAATGTGTCAAGATAATGAAAATGTTGAATCCAGCTTAAAAGGTCAAAACCTCATCAATACAGACACACTGATCAGAATTGTGTGACTGATTTTTGAAGGCCCAGATAATCTTGTCAGTAGGGGCATTGATTACTTCTACTAAATGTCACACGAGATAAAAACCCTTGTAAGTACAAGGCAGCTGCATTCAGGACAAGTGAAACATTTCAGATGTTTCCTGCAAAATTCACTGGGATTTAACAACACAACTTTGCCCTGTGTGGCTTTAAACTCCATTAAGAAACATGGTGTGGAATGTGGAATACTTTAGATCTGTTATATACTGGCCTGAGGTTATCTTTGCCAAACTGAGTGCACTTTATTGTTCATGTTTCTTTTAGCACTTTTAGATTCCTTATATATTAATATTACACACTGGAGAGTAAGTTACAAAATTTATTTATTATTAAAATCATAGTGTCTTTCGCACCAAGTGGGGCACATTTTCTTAGAACAAAATGTTGCTTAATTGTGAAGAGGAGAGATAAAACCAGAGTTTTTCTTTTCTTTATTGTTCAAGTAAGAATCGGAATAATTTGACTTCCATTTCTATTCAGTCCCCCAAATGCAATCCTTTGACTGAAGGGTATTTTGCAGTTGTATAAGGTTTTAACTATAATGTATGAAATTCTTCATAATTATGAACTACTTTGTGTGGGTCTATCAGATAAAATCTATTTATCCATGTCTACACCCGCTTATCCTGGCAGGATCACAGGGTCAATCATTGGGTGAGAGGCAAGAACACCCTGGACAGGTCACCAGTCAATCACAGGGCAACACAGAGACACATAGGACAAACAACAGTAGCTCTGCCAATGCTAAAACACAACACCAGCACAGTGTGGCGTTCATACTTAACGTATACCGTAAGTGGTGCGGTATTCTTTAAAAATGAGCCCTAATGGAGGAGCCATTTAAATGCCAGTGCAGGTGGACCAGCTCTGCAAAAGTATTTTGAAAATCACCCAGTTTGTGTGAAAGATGGCATGTGCAATCCTCGAGGACTCATAAAAATTCAGAGGTGAACGGCCGTGACAGCATGACAACGTGAGAGGTGGGGACGGCTCAATGCACCAACTATAAACCTCGCTATGACACTCCATAACCAAAACTTCAACACATGTCAAACTGAAAATTTACAAAACACCCATGTAAATTATCTCATTTCAAGTTATCCGGAAAAATTATTTTACGGAAAGCTAAGTGCGCTAAATATTTTTGAAGTTAGCAAAACCACTTAGCGAAAAATTAGCTTTGGTATTAGCATATTAGCAGATTAGCAGAAATGTGCCCACCTCCTTGTGGAGAAGATGCAAACTCCATGCAGAAAAACCCAACGCAGGGATTCCACATACAATCACAAAAACTTAATATAAAATTTTTGGTTGTGAAAAATTACAAAATGTCAAAATATTTCAGGTGTTCTAATTCCTTTTCAAGAGAGTAAAATCAAGTACTCTCTGTTAATGCTAAACAAGTGTACAACTTCTACTTGTTTATGATTTCCTCTGAAAGCTACTGGCTTTGTAAAAAATACTTTCAGATCTGACCTCCTCCGAATAGGACACATTGCACAGAAAAAAAAAAATCAATAGATGGTAAGCTCTTCAAAAAAAGGCAAATTTGCTTGTTTTCATTTCCTGAAAGGTCGACATTTCACAGATACACTGCTTCATCAGACACTGCCGATTTGCAAATCACACAACACGATGTGGTTACACTGAACGCCGGTGGCAGCCACCAGTGTGTGAGCCGGTATGACTCACCTCTCTGCACCTCCAAGAAAAACACACCGACACAAACATAAATAAACTCAGAAAGCGGGACGAACACCGATCCAGGTCAGCCCCGTTTAATGTGCTCCTCAGGTTGGGCACTGAGGTAAAATTGTAAGTCTAACAAACAAGACACGTGCACAGTATGACACTTATAGTGAACAGCCAACATTTAATGTGTAACTGCAGTCTGCCAACCAATCAGAGCAGACAGTCTGTGGCAGGCAAGCAAGCAGAGCAGAAGCTGAGACTAACTGTGAATACATGCAGACACACAGGAGAGAGGAGAGGCAAGGAGGGGTTTGACAGTGAAGGAGGGAGAGGAAACCAAGCGAAGACATCCCCACTGAGTGTTCACCGAAGCCTTCAGCTGAAGCTGCAGATATGATCGCTCTAAACAACAAATAATCCCCTGGATGGTAACTTTTGAAATTATGCCTATTGCAACTATATGTACGTAGATGGAAATATGATTTAAATCGTATGATGATACTATTGATTGTGGCAATGTAGTAGTAAAAACACCAAATAATAAATAAGAGAAAACTACAGAGAGAATGCCAAAAAAATGTGTAGTGAAGAAATAAAATGCAAATAAAAATGATCTCTTACCTTTGTGAGTGAGTGTTCTATCCTTTGTAATAAAACTGCAATTTAGTAGATGCTTCTGTCTTTGTAGGACAAGTTACATCTACATGTATGCTTCTTTCATCTGAGCATGAACTCGTCAGTCCTCTGTGCCAGCGCTTTTGGTCCACCTTAGTAGGTTTGTGAAAATACACACAAGATGGTAATGAATAGTGGAGAGTGAAAGGACAGCACTACGCTGGAAGGCAGGCAGTCTGCATGAAACAGGAGAGCTGGGAGAGTAGAGAGCAGACTGAGTAGGATGCAGGAGGTATTCTTCCCAACATCAGAGTGGCCGGGTTGGAAACACCCACCTTCTCAGCATGCATCAAATGGGAAGCCCGTTCTAAAGTATGTGGACATGGAAAACTCCTGCGTGCAGCGGGAGATCATACCTGATGAACGGCGGCTCTAAAAACTGTTCGCCAGAATTGCCAGATTTTTTAATGCAAAAACAAGAGACTATGGGAAGGAAATTTTCCTTTTAATCATTTAACACATAAACCAAAAATATACACCTGTTTGCATAAATGTGCACTCCCTTAAACAAGTACTTTGATAAAGCACCTTTTAATTTGGTTTTAAATCTCACGCTTCTTGGGAACACTTCTGCTATTAATTATAAAGCATCTGATAACCTAGAAACAAAGTTCAGCTGCCCAAGCAAGATTTTTTTTGAAATTTGCTCATTTGTATCTGTTAGCTAAAGGAATAGTTTGCAGAGAGATTACAAAAAAATTAAGTCATCTAATTGTAGAAATGTATCAGTCTGGAGCCAGGGAGCAAAAACAAAAGGGCATCACTAGAAGAACACGTTGTGACTAAGTCTGTAACCAAGTCAAAGTGTGGAATGCAATTAAAATCCTACCAAATAATGCAGAACACTGAAATGCAATCAGAAGCTACTTCATACTTTGATTTGTTTATTTTTAGGTTGTTAGAGGACACATGTAACATTACAGGTATAATGCTTTAAAGGTATTTTTCCACTCATATGATTATTTTATGAAAATGTGTCATTTTTCCAACGGTGTGTAGACTTTTAAGATCCACTGCACACACATGTGAGGCTGTGAGCGCTTGTTAACTTCCGCTTAATTACATATTAAGCCTTTCCCCTCAGCCGAGTGCAGCCTGTGAGATTTGTCCACCGGTACTTTTTTTCAGTGGAAAGAAATAAACCACGATAAGAGTCTTCATGCCTTAAACGGCTGCTAATGAGTTGAATTCGGGGCTCAAGATGTGTGTTCTTATAAAATCACTGCAATGATGTGATTAAACCAGCTGTTCCCAACCTTGAAGGATGCCCTGCAGGTCAAAGGAGGGAATGTAACTCTCAAACACGAATTCTTTAATGTGTTTGTGTTTTACTGCCTTATTCTTCAAATGAAATTAGAAAGACTCAAAACATGCTAATGATGTATTTCCAGGTTTGCTAAAAAGTGTTGCAGTACAGTAATAGTTCATCTGATGCAAATAACAAAATAACAACTGTGTGCAGCTGTAACAACAGGATTTGTACTGAGAGCTAAAAAGATTCTTGGAGTGCACCGTTGCCTGTCACTCAACATGCCTTCATTTTCCCATCAGTGATCTCCTCCTGACAGAGATGGAGCATGAGAGTGGGGAGATTTCTTTTTTTTTTTTTTTGGGCTTTAAAGCGTTCACACCACCTACATCTCCCGGTCCGTGCTGTGAGGGCTCCACGCCTCCTGGGACAAAGCCTGCTTTAATAAAGGCCAGCAGCATTGCACAGGGCATGCAAAGAACTCCTCGTTAACACAAGTTGAAAGAATAAAATGTACAAAATTGCTGCATTTACATCAGGTGAAAAGAAACCAACTAAATTCTTCCTTCAATAGAAATAATATTTGTAACATTTCAAAGCTCAAATCTGCTTAATGACTTAATTATGTGTTTTAAAGTTTCATTTCTACTGTTTTAGGAACGTCATACTCTATAGCTCAGGACATGGGTGGTGGGATTTGTCTTTTGTTGAAGAAAAAAAACATAATTATTAGGAGGCGATGAGAGAAAGGCACCACAATAATGCTTCTTTATTATGCAGCCCCACGTTAGGATTTAGATGGACTCTGAGACGGGATGGGGAAAATTACTGCCCCATCAGTTGTATCTGTCAGAACCAGGGCCAGCATAAGGCTTAAAAAACTGAGAAGCATCCCCCAGTACTCCCTCCTCCAAATCCTCCCACACCCCCAACTAATAGTGGGCCCCTAAAACCACCAGAATTATCATTCTTTGGTTGCATTAGCAATCGCGCAAAACAAAGCTCCCTAATATGTAAAAATGCTTTCATTATGAAAAAAAAAAAAAACTAGTTGATTAACATGTTAATGCTTCTGAAGTCCCCGCTCCATCTCTCCTAACAGCTAAATCTCTTAAATAACAGCAATAAGGATAAACTGCTTGTTTGTTTTTACATTTGGGATTTTTTTGTGTTTTATTTTATTTTTTTCTAAAAATAATCTGCATATTTTTTTGAGAGGCTAAAATAAAAACCAAACACCATTCCATTTGATAATTTCCATCCTTTACTCTGCCATTAACTTCTGAAGTCCTTTATGAGAACTAAAAAAACAACCATATATTTTGAAACATGTCCACCAAGTTTGTAGACTAACAAACAGTAGTGCAAACCTGTGCAGTGGAGGGGAAATGGTTCTAGGACAACCATTCACTGACATTACAGCTGCAGGTCTTTAGGGTGTTTCTGACAGATTTGCAGATCTACAGACTGAATATTTTCCTTTTTGTTCTTTACAAAAAGGCTCTATGAATGCCACTTTGACTTGGATTCTCTAACACATGAATGAATATTCTTTGATCAAAACCATTTCAGCTCTGACCCTGTATCGTAGCTGCCCTGCTCAAAATAAAACCTCAGGTCTTACAGCTTTTAACAGTTTTTCTTCAATTATTTTCCTGCGAACATCTCCATCCATCTTTTAATCAACTCTATTCAAGTTCCTTTTAAATACAATGCTTCCCCATAACATGATCCTGCCACCACCATGTTTCACGTTAGCTTGTTGAAGCAGAAGTGCAGCATTAGCTTTCAACAAATACCGTTTTTGCTTTGGTTTCATCTGAACTTCTCTTCCCAGACTTTATCTGTCCCTTACACGGCTTGCGGAAAGCTTCAAACAGAAGTCTGCATGGCTTTTTAAAACTATTTTCTTGACAGTTTTTCATAAAGGTCAGTTTTGTTGATTACTTCACTAGAGGTTGTCTTTTCAACACATTCTTGCACCTGAACAAAAATTCTGTTTAGGCCCCCCAAACAGGAGCTCTGAACCAGCTCATATTACAGCTTGGTAAATCATTCTCCTGATTCATTTTATTTATTAATCAAGTTAATTTTGAAGAAAGTGAAGCTATGTTATTTGGGATGAAATACCCTGAAATTATTCCTGTTGTGAGATTTTTGCACACTGAACCAGTCATGAAATTTATATTAGAGTCACTCCAAAGCCTGAGATAGAGGAGACATCCTATTCTGGAGCATTAGATTGAGGATACCTTTGGGAATATCAGCCAGTCCCACAGGAAGTACTAGTCTGCGAAACTACTACTACCGTCCATTATCTGCATCCTTGCTGCAACAACACTTGATAACCAAGGGGTTTCTTGAAGCTCAGGCACAGTAGAGCTCAGCTCCATTGATGCAATGTTTGCTGCTGACCAAGCATCCACTCTGCAGCAGCAGCAGCAGCAACAGAAGAAACGGAACGTCCAGCTCGAGTATCGTATGGAAAAAAATGTCCCCACAGTTTGAAACCCTGTCGTTTCGCTTTTTTTATTTTGGCAACATTCAGGTGCTACGATACTCCCCTCATCGCACAAACACACGCCAGAACCAACAGTCTTTAGCCCTTTTAACATCACAGTGCAACTGATACTATTAAGGTGAGACGAGATTAAATAGACACCTTAGTGCTGCGATCAAAGTATATTTACGTTTCCCCCCAGAAAGCAATGAACAAACAAACTGTATCTTACCGTTAAAATCATGAAGGAGTAGCCTGGTGACTGTCAGATGAGGAGATGGTCCAGTGAAGATGGTGATGCTGCTGGATAGTTTGCCGTCATATTCCCTGGATAATGTCGCCCCCTGTTGATCAAAACTGTGTATAACCGTTGCTAATCATTCCAATGGACGGGACCGTTTTTTTTATTTTATTTAGGAATGTAAAACTTTACTTATAATGAAACAATTTATAATTGCAACTGATACAAACACGGTATACACGGTAGTTCAGTTATTATTATAATTGTTTTGGAGCATACAGCTTCCCGAAATAATGATAATGTAAGGTTTGCAGGTAGAAAACGGTTTTATGATTTCAAAATAAAAGCACGAAACTGTTGACGTTTAGTTTACATTTTACTTGTCATTATGCCACATACTATGTATGTGCGGACTTTTAAAAACGAAATATATAACGACAACGGATTATATTGAATAAGCCTGAAGGTTTAGTTTTATTTATGTCAAAACTATACTTGCAAGCAATGTGTTCCAGGCCTCTTGATTAGTTGTTATGCCCTTATATAGAATCGTGATTGCAGTACATTATGATGAAGGAAAAGGTAGAAAGTGATGTAATCAAAATATCACCACAATACCAAGCAATAATACCGCAACTTTGCAATAGTTTTTTTCCAAATACGAATACTTTTGCTGTGAATCGCAAACAGCAAACAACTTTGGATGGGCATTCGTAACTATCCCTAAAGTAACAATAATTATCCAAAAATGGATTGTATACCTAACCAAATTGTCTATGTTTGTTGAGAAAATCTCCTCCTCTCAGCAAACAGCTATTTTGCTTGTCAGCCTTTATTTTGATGGGAACCCCAAACTCTCGATCTTTCTCCTTTTTAGCTCAGCTGCCCTTTCAGGAAACACTACAAATATGGCGTCAACAGGGTGGATGGATTTCGTCTTTTTAGGTGTCCTTAGATCGGCCTGCGTTTTAGACTGTAAACGTTATCTAATTTGACAAAAACCTGTGCATATTTATAAGATTTATGTGCTCGCATGGTTTACATTTATTATGAAATGGAACCGTTATGTGATGTTTTTGTCGGATATGTTCAGACAGTGTCGATTCTTCACCGGCGGAGAAACGGTCAACGTGTCTTCGAGCAGGAAAAAGCGCCAACTTCTCTTTGCACCGTCTGAATAGTCAAACAGCGGACTACATGGTTTGAATGACTATATATTTGGGAATATATATTAAAACTGAAGCTGGAATGAGTCCTTCAGGTAAGATTTAAACGTGTCCTCTGACTGTTCGAATTAAGAGAGTTCGTTGTTTTGAATTAAGCAGTTGAAGGCAGCGTGCTGCCTGTTTACTCCTCCCACTGCTTCACAACACCGCTCCATGTCGACCCAGTTTTTGCACTGTGTTGCGTTCAAATAGTTTGGAATGAGTTTTTAAATGCACACTGCTTTGTTTTTACCATTATATAAAAATTAGAGAGGCAGAGTTTCGTCTCTGGTTGTTGTGGAGGGGTGGTTATACAGGCACCATTAAGTTAGCGTTAGCTTGGTAATATGTTATATAATACCGAACTGAACTTGTAACTGTACACTACACTGTAAACCAGAACCGTCTGAACTGATCAACTCGAACTGTTTTGCTCAAAATTACATTACAGGAGCAGAAACTTAAGTGCGTAGTTACGTTCGTTCATGTCGAGCTCTGATGGCGCCCACTGAAATATAATGTGCAATTCTCTTTTTCGCCAGTGCGCTGCGCTGTTCGGTCTCAGTAAGTTACTAAGGAGAACGACGATGTCAGGTCTGCTGGCTGAGAATGCTGGAACAGGACAGGGGAGTCCTGTGAAAAGGAACAAACTTTCCTTGAAGTTCTTCCAGAAGAAGGACACAAAACGAGCTCTGGATTTCTCCGAACCTCAAGCAGAAGATGCAAAGACACTAGAACAAGAAGATTCTCCAGCCAGGTGGGTCTGTGAGTAGTAGTAGAGTAGTTTAGTTCATGTTTCAAACTTTGCAATAATAAACCACATTGCCAGGTTATGAACAACACTCAATCACTGAGATACAGATGTTGATATTTTAAAAGTAGTCCATGTTAACTTATTTTGTCAGCAGTACACAAATCAACTTCTTTTGTTTTATAAACAGTTGACAAATGTCCATTTTTGTAAAAAAAAAAAAAAAAAAAAGTCAAAGTTTATTTATAGAACACTTTAAAACAAGGAAAGCTGAACAAGTAGAATTTGGGTCATAAATCATTTAGGAACAGCAGTCATTAGTTGCTGTCCTGCAGTTTTTAGCTGTGCCACAGGTACAAAACACTGGAATGAAATGGCTTAATTACCTCCTCCTTGTGTAGATTGGTTCTCCAGAGCCTTGCTAATGACCTAATTATTCTAATCAGGTGTGGTACAGCAGAGTGGTACAGCATCTAAATGTTGCAGAACACTGGCCCTTGAGTACTGGACTTTGACACTCCGGATTTAAGAGAACATCAAGGTTCAGCATTTTAACCTTTGCCAACTTAAACAGAGATTGTAGAAACGAAACTTCTGGAAAACTGACATCTTAATTTATTATTAATTAAATGTGTAAGAAAAATAACATTTTAAAAAATATTTATTTTCCAGACTTTATTGCTCATTCAGTTCAAAGTTTTCTCAATCTCAGTTCAGTAGGCTTAAGATTCATGTAAATAAACACGAATTAAAAATGAAATGGTTCTTTAGTACCAAAAATGTACATTTAATCACATAAGTAGTATAAAATGGTATTTTAAATGGGCATGAAAAAGGAAGAAAAACACAGTATGTTTTGTTTCTCCAATTTGTTTTCTGTGTGTAGATAATCTCAACTACAAACATCCAGCAGCTTTCTAACACCCACTGAGTTTGCTCATTTGTATATCAAATCACATTCCAGCTTGCTGGTAAGAGGTTAATGACCGTCATCAGTCTGCCGGCTCTGCCAATCTGGGTTCTCAAAAAACTTTTCAGCTTTTTATTTTTAGATTCTTCCTATAATTTGTATAAATTTTCACAGTAACTTTTTCCATTGCAGAATTGTTTGCACCCTCTGTATATACACCACAAACAGGTTTTCAACTCTGGATAAACAAAGAACATGTAATCTCTCCCCACTCTGAAAGAGGGCTGCACAATATAAATAAAATCTGTTTTAAACATTTGTTGAATTATTGGATACTCAAGACACTTTTGGCCTAGAACACTGGAGAAAAAAACGTTGGCAAGCGTAATAATATTGCTACAGTTATATACAGTTTATGCTCTCATTCCATATAAAAAACCTAGAATAATTTAAGCAATGACTGTGAAAATTAAAACAATCCATTTCCTGTTTTGTTTTTCCTAATCTGCTGCAGCTGTGATCAGGTGGTCTATGGCCCCGCCCCCTGTCCGTCTTCACCTGGCCTTCCAATCCCATGTGAGAAGAGGGAGAACCTGGTGCCTTTTGTGGGTCTCAATAACCTTGGCAACACCTGCTACTTAAACAGCATCTTGCAGGTGGGTGATTACTTCTTAGTTCAAGTTCCACAAATCAAAAAATCTCCTTCAGAAATGTATTTAATACATCGTAGGTCACATATTGTTGTTGAATCTTAATGGATAATTTGACTAGTGCCCTAAAAGTATATTTTGCTTCACCAGTTTTTAAGTTTGTTCTGGTAAATACTTGCTGGTTTCTAATCTTGAAGGAAGTTTTGCACATGGCAGCACAAAACAACCCATAAAGAGGCAAAGAGATGAAATTGTTTCTCATTCACTAAAAGAAGAGAAGGGTTTTTTTCAGGTAGAACGGCTTAAGGCTGGAGATAAGAGGCTGCTTTGCAGTGCATTGTCCTCCTGAATGATGCATTGTGTGCTTAGATTGCCCCATTGTGGCTTATCTGTAGAGGCATTGTTTGGAAGTGAAGAGACGTCAAGCGGTGAACGTTTCATCACTCAGTTGGACTCTTGTGTGATCTCCTCTGTAACACCTGTTCACACAGCGGGCCTGTTGCTGCAGTGTCATATTTCACCAGTTGCTTACAATAAGTGAGATGTCTCTCCTTTCCAAAGAGGACAAAAGATAAAGAAATTTGCCTCGTCTTCACAGTGAAATGATATTGGATGTACAGAAAAAAGCACAAAAAAATTTGTAAAAGTATGAGATGGATTTAAGTTTATGTTTTGATAAATATTGA